GGAGATGTAGTTACTACTTCCATTGTTAAAAATAGGTTTGAGAAAAATAAAGTAATTTCTGCACCATTCAGCAATTAAACTGGCAGTTCTCGAAATAATACTGCAAAATATAAGCGTAAAGCTGATACAAATTTCTCTCAAAATAAAAAAATTGCTCAAGCACACGAAACATTTTTCCGATTACTGTAAGTTTATCTTGTGAAGAACGAATATTTATGGTTTTTTTCTTCAGACCTTAACAAAGCTTTATGCTTTTTTTTACAATTCATTTTGCCTTCATTTGATGTTTTTAACACAGTTCTACAAAGCAGAATTCCATTAATTCATGTTTTGCAATCAATGATTTATGATCTGTTTAAAGACATTTTACAAAGTTTGTAAAACCAGTCTGTGTTTTGTCTTGTAATTCTATATATGATGTGATTTGTGGTGAAACAGAAAATCAGAAGAAAGATGAAGATTTGGTAATAGGAGCTGCAACTATAAAAGTAGTGGAAGAACTTTCAGAAGAAGACAAAAATAAGTTTTATCTTCATGTTAGAAGTTACTTCTGTCGAGTATGTGATTACATACTACATAAATACCCAGTCAACGATGAACTGATTTTGCATGCTAAAGTTGCTGATGTTTCTGCTCTAGCAAATGTGTCTTTTTCTTATATAAGGTACTTTTTGAACAGATTTCCTGTGTTAACTTCATTTAGTCATGAAAGATGATATATTGATGTTGCCACTGATAAATATTGCAGTCGCAATTTTGCAGTTTACATTTAGAAAACTTAGATGAAGTTATAAAATCAGCAAGGATTGACACCCAGTGAAATTTAACTGGAAAACTGAAAGGTGCTGATGGAATTTTAAAATATAGTGAACTCTCTAGAATTATGTTGGCCATCTTGACAGTTCCCCATAGTAATGCGGAGTGTGAGAGGATTTTCAGTGTTGTTGCGAAAACGAGGACTAAATTTAGATCAAATATTAGTGATGACACATTAGAAAAACTTTTATTAGCAAAAGCATAGCAAAAGCAGGCCTACGTGACAATTGCTATGAACAAAATTATGAAGTTTCTTTCTTAACGAAAGCAAAATCTGCCACTGTCCATAACATTTGTATGAAAACTGATTAAAGTGTCTTTTTTTTTTTTTTTTTTTTTTTTAACGATGCAAGTAATAAAAACGTTTGTTATGTCTAAGGTATTTTGGTTTTGCTTGCATTTAAGACTTAGTAACTATTTAAAGTTAATTTATCATTAAAAAGTATATTTTTATCATTTAAAAAATATTTTTAACATTGTGAAAAATCTTCTGATTTCTTAAAAAAATCTCCTGATTTCTTAAAAAAATCTCCTGATTTTTGAGTGTCATAGGTTGGCAAGTATGCGTTTGATTTAACATTATTAAGTTTACCAGCCATAACGTTTTGAGTAATATCAGTAATACTTAAATTAACACAGTCAGGATTATGTGCATCAAGAAACTTACACTTACCATCATATATCCTTAATAGTCTCTCGGCGAATCCACGTTCCCTGGTATACAAATTCCGAAGAAACTGAATATGTTATTCAGCACCTTCAGAGTTGCTCATTGTTTCCAAGTCCATATCAATCAACATAATCCTATTTTTTAACTTTTTAGTGTTCTGTAACACACACAAGTATTCTTCTAATATTAAAGTTTCCACATTTATTAACCCACCTCAATTATCTCCTAGATATTTATCTAGGAAACAATGCATTTCTTCCGTTAACTCTAGCACGTGGTTCCTAACCACAGATGTATCCATTTTAGCCATACAGAGCTCCCCACCATAGCACGTAGACACTAATCCTTGCCGAAATATCACTATTCACTGCACACAAAAGTCACACAATTCAGAAGTAATCCACATCTGCCTAAATCCAATACGATGAAGAACTAGCATAGAATCGCCCATAAGCTCAAAACAGCAAACAAAGCACGTGGAAGAAACAGTAGAAAACACTTCTGCGATCGAACTAGCACAGCGTAAGAAAGACACGTCTTATTACAAATGTAAACATGTAATCACTGCCTGATGTAAATAATTGCTTAAATTAGTGAAATCTATTTAGAAAAAATTATTTCTTGGGGATATTGAGCATGCTGTCATAACAGTAGTGTAACTGATTTGTAATAGTGGCTTAAGCATTTAAATTAATTTGTCTTCATTGTGTACATTCCTGTACCCCCAAATGATACATTTTATGACTTCGAAGTAATGAGTTATGCTATTTAGAAGCAATGTGAATATTTTATATACAATTTCAGTCATTTTTTAATATTCTTATTTTTAGATATTTTCAGGAAAGGTGATAGATTTAGAAGCAATGTGAATATTTTATATACAATTTGTCATTTTTTAATATCCTTATTACAGATATTTTCAGGAAAGGCGATAGCTTTTCCTGTACCTTGCTCAAAAGATTAAAAAGTAAATTATTTGGGGAAAAAATTGGATTGAATGTGATATTTTTGGAATGTGATATATTGGAAAATTAATAATTATATTAATGCAGCAAAAACTCCTTAAAATTCTTGTAATTAATGATTATTATCTTAACAGTTTTTTACTTTTCCTATTAACCTGTTGAGCATTGAAACTGTTACTAGTTATGGTAAGTGTGACATTAAAACACATGCAGATCATTTGCGTTTTGATTTAGGGTAACCTTGATTGATTCTCAATAAGCCATGTTTTGTATTTATAAATGCAGATATAAAATTAACTATTATTTCTCTCTCTACATATATATACAGGGTGTTTCTAAATGAATATCAGAGTTTTAACGCTTTGTAGTAATTATTACATAAAACTTAAAATTATAATTACATAAAATGAAAGAGCAATTCAAACAGTTAAACCTACAAGCTTACAAATGTTCGATGTCACACGGCACTCATCAAGTCGAAAATTCTTGGTACAGCTAACCTTTGGCCGTCCTGTACTCTTCCCTTTGCAAAGGCAGCTGGTATTTTCAAACTGATGATACCATCTACAGTTGTTATTATCCCTTGAGGGATCACATCTGAACTTAATCCAAAATGCACGTTGCACAGTGTTATAATATATATATATATATATATGTAAGATATAACAAAATACGATAGCTCCTTTAAAAAAATAATTGGTAACCTCAAAATTAACATTTTGGATTTGGCGATCTCCCCCTAAATTCATCTGTTCTCCCAAATTCGAGATTTTTCTATGTTATGTAGTGCTACTAACCAATCATAGATTAGCTGTACAAGTACATCAAACTTGGTGTAAATTCCTCTGGCAATTAATTGCGGCACTCTTTCCTATCTTCCACCTTGCTAATATTTCCTTCATTAGCTTCCCCATCTAAATACTGCCTGTATCTTAATTTCAAGAAGCAATGTAAATAGATGTTTATTGTATTTCAGTATGATTGGATAAACATCTATGGAGATGATTTTATATGCATGGAAATAAAGACTCTAAAATTGTCAAGTTCATGTTTTCTTGTCTTCATCTGTAAGCCTTCACCCTCAGCTACGACTGCAAGCTAATTCCTCTTCAATGTTTCTGAAATTATGATATATATATGTATTGTATTTTGGAGGAAAAAAGATTAAAATTTGGCACCTGCCTTCGACCAAATAGCAAGCAATAGATCATTTCAAATTCATGGGATCCTGCCATTGAAAAGAGTATATATTAATGGACACAATATAGTCAACTCAATATGACCAACAGCCCACCAGCGGACGAGCGGTAAAGTTGCTGAACACTAGTAGTTCGGTCCGAGGTTCGAATCCCGCGAACGGGCTGGCTGCATGGGCGTTTTCGTGATTTTCCCTATGTGTAACGTGTATACGAGCCAGTTTCCCTTAGAAAGTCCTCCACAAAGGCATCCTTCCCCTTAGGCAGATAGCCCTAATGTGCTTTGCCATAATTAAACAGACCAAACCAAACCTAATATGAGCAACAAAATGGGAATAGATTGGAACAATTGCCTACAAGAAGTTTGCATTCGCAGTGTTCTAAACAGCGCTTCTGGTAAAATCAAAGGGCCCAGCAAAATAGTAGAAATTTAGAAAAGCCTTTTACAAAAACAAAGCATCTCAAATATTCATAGTTTATAAAATAAAAAGGTGGCAGTTCCTTCAGAATTGTGTAGGAATGATTGGCATAACTTTGATGTGATCTTTATCAACTTTAATAGCTTAATGGTAGTCAACTTTCGCAGTGATTGGGTAGTACGTAATTAACAATGATTTTAATTAATCGGTAACAATCATAATTAAAATTAATTCATTAAATATTTAAAATTCATTTTTGTTGATTGCCATTAAGAGTGATGTGACAAATGGTCTGATGACTAAGAAAATTTTATTACTGATGATAAAATGTTCTGCTATAAACATAGTTTTGTGATACATGGTATTCAGTGCTTTGTGATGTTCACATTTTATTAATTTTCTTCTGTCCTTTAAGGAGAGCAAACCAGAGAAAGTGTAAAATTAGAATATGATCTTTCTCTTATATAAATTGTTCTTGCTGTTTTAGGACAATGATATTATTATAATACTTTTTTGATTCCCCAAAATTATTTTTATTAATTTTTTGGAAGGTATTATTTTTGAATACCTGAAAAATGCTGATTTATTTTGTAAACAAATTGTTTCTTATTAAATAGCTATGTTAAACACTTAGTTTTACTGTCATAAAGTGAAATTAAAGAATTACCTATAGATTGCATGAATTGGGTAAACAAGGGGAAAAAAGGGGGGGGGAAATATCTAAAGTAATTTTGTGGTCAGATTGATTGAATTTATATAATAAGTTGCTGCTTTCAGCTTGTTTCATAATTTTGTTAAGGAATTAAAACATTTGACATTTCTTTTTAAAATTTTTGATGTTATGGAATATTGGACGTTTTAAAAATTTCTTGCAGTTTTTGTATTTATTTGTTGCACTATGTAGTATTGTTTGTAAAATACTTTTAATTTTTAGAAGGAAGCAGATAAAGCACGAGCTTTGCATGACATGGAAGATAAAATTATTACAACAGCATTTTATAATTTAGTAAGTAGTTTAGAAAGTATCTTACTCAGATAATTTTTAATATTTATGCTTGTTATTTAAATATGGCTAAGAGTTTGTAGTTAAAATGCTTTAATACGCAAATTTCTTTTTATGAAGAAATTTATGTAATAAATACCTTAGGAAGTCTTAAATGTTTCATGACAAATTTTATATGGTGTAATTCATTGCATAACTGCAGAATAGTTTGTCTCATAAAGGCAGAGTTTAATGTGTGATAGGAATGAATGAAAGAGTTTAATGTGAGATGTAATTGAATGAAACAGTCTTTTTCATTCATGAATTTTTGTTTGTAATACTTAACATTTTAATGTGAGAGGATCTTGTTTGTATGCACTAAGTGAAGAGCAGAGTCTGTTTACAGTACTTTTTCGAGGCTTCATTTATGGTTTTTACACTTTGAGAATTATTGTGTATTTGCATCAAATATTCCAGTTTCACAAAGTTACTGATGCATCCTTTCATACAACTTTGGATCACTTCTGAGTGGATGAGCTGTAAATACTGAGTTTTAATTCAGTGTGAAGTTAACCTGAGAGTTTCTCTAGTGGCATTAGATATGTGTTACAGTATTATTAAATGCTTCAAAGTTGCTCTTGACTCTCTCTCTATGTTGACTTCCATGTTTATTTTACACTTCCTTTTACATTACCAGTCCTCTTTATTTTCTGTCTCACTTAAATATGAAAGCAAAGAATTATAATATTTTATTGTGTGTTTAAAATTTTGCCTTTACTTTTGTATGGAGGTTAGTTTTTCTCTGCTTTAAGCCCTTGTATATGTTTTCTGTAACATCTATACTACATAATTTATTTATTTAAAGCACTGTGAAATGTACAAGATTAATAATGCTATGTAATTAAAATTGCTGGAAGGTTTAATGTTAATTTTTCTAGTAATCAGTTCACTATTTATATATATATATATATATATATATATGTTACGGTGAAACACCGGAATCTGGATAATGTCGACTTTCACCGGTGAATGTCAACGTTCACATAGTCGCATGGTGTATGTCCGAAATATTTTCTAAATATCCTCTTTATTTCTGACTTTACACCGGTCAAATGTCAACATTCACCATGCACTAATGGTGAATGTTGAACATTTTCCTTCATGCGTATGATATCATTCACGAAAATAGGATGCAGTTTAAGACTAAAAATACATGCAACATAAACTTCTGAACTTAAAACGACACAAGTACATTCTAAATGAGAAAAGGAAAATAATACCAAAGTTTATAAACTTACTTAATTATGTGTTTCACGTTTTACAGTCTTATTTATTGCAACAACTTAAACTATTATGACACTTTGAATTTCACAAGAGGCCCTTGCTTTTACAACTCCATTTATTTGTGGAACACTTCCTTTTGGAATGGCAGCGTGTACATTTACTCCTCTCTTTTCGACCTACACCAGAGCATATCTATGATTGTCGACATACACCGGTGAGGGTCCGAATGTACAAGAATGTAAAGAAATATTCGATCTTTCACCGATGTATTTGGTGAATGTTGACACTCTCAGGTGAAAGTCGACATTCTCCAATTTCGGGGTTTCACGGCAACATATATATAGCTACTTATATAAGATTCAGTTTTTTATTTTATTTATTTATTTTTTTTAATGTAGTACTAATTACTCTTAGCAAGCTTCTGGTCATCCAAAGTGGTAATGCCATTAAGTGTGTAAAACTTGTAAACAAATGGTGTAAAACTTGCATCGGACGTATATCACAATGGAATATGTAAATGGTTATGATTTGAGTTAAAATCTGGGCATAGTGTCTTTAAGGTGATCGAGGGAAATCATTTTAAGGATTGATCCATAAATTTGTGGTGACTGTCCTGTAAAAAGCCAGATATTTATTTTGTAATCTTTTTGTTGTGGTGGCAAACGTATATGTCACATGTTATGATAAACAGGAATATAGTGGCAACTTACCCCAGGACAAGATCCAGGTCTATAGCCCGCCGTGACGAGAGAGTGACAAACACGTGAAAACAGATTTAATTCTTGCTTTATTGGATACTAACAATACTGAAGAGATATTCCTTTTTTTTGTAATCCGGTATGTCACATGACGATATGAGGCCTCCTCACTCAGAACAAAAAAAAGATAGATCAATTCTTCCACACAGCCCTTCGAAGACTTGGTGTATTTCAGCTCAACACATGCAGGTACTCTTCATCGGGATGCCGGGCGAAAATGCCAAGCCCGGGAAAAAAAAAAAAGAGATTAGCTTAAATTTTGCAGCTACAACATCAAAGAGAAAGAAAACTCGCTTCCTTCATACACACTGGGAGACCAAAGAAAGCTTGCACGATAAACTCCCAAAAGTTTGCATTTTTACTCCACTCTTACTGTCTTTCTCTATGCAGCATCTCCATCTCGCACCTTCACAATCTCCTCCTTCCTCTCCTCCTGGTAGACAAAAAATACCGCCTTTTATAAAGTTCCACAGTTAAGTTTTGCCGCCCAATGAAAAAAGATCCAGCGTCAGAAGGCAACCAATCGCAAAATACCTTCAGCTACCCAGGCAAACAGAAGTGAAGACGCTAGTTGTCTGACGCAATACTTTCCTCCGCTTACGCTTTACAACAGTTGTCTGATGAAATCTGTTCCTCACCTTACAACACAAGTTGGCGAAAAAAATGAAACTGTCACCAAAGGAATCTGATGCAAATATCTAAATATTGCCATAACGTAGTAAATAATTAATTCAATGTGACCTCGTCACATATCCACTCCTCCTTCGGAAAAAAAAAAAGGGTAAAAAAAAAAATTCCTATGCACACGAAAAACATTCCTAGTGTTAAGAGGGCGCCTCATATCAACACATGCCAATTCATGTGAAAGTGCTGGTTAAAAATACATATATTACACACAAATTGCTATTTACATAATAAATAAAAGTACATAGTATACAAATGCCAGACAAATAACATAATCAAATGCGCTATAAATAAACATACAATTTCTAACATATTAAAACATGGAGATCACTTGGTTAAATTGCTATCGTTTAACACCAAAGTATATGGATAATTGTGCAAAGAGTCCAATTTTATACTGTTGGCACAGATAATTAGAGTTCAATTGATAGTCTTCTGTGCATCACGCACAGTAATGGAAGCATTTTAAAAGTCCATGAAAAATCAGTAATGGAAGCATTCATTTTAAAAGTCCATGAAAAATATTAGAGTCCATAATATCAAAAAGTCTATAAATTTAGCATAATTACCGTACTGAGTATTCAGGCACAGTCTCTAACACGTGTACTCAGTAATAAGTGATATAATCATTGCACATTCACATAATTTGTCCAAAATATTGAAGAACTAGGCACATAATTGATAATAAGTGTGCGTTAAATAAGTACACAGTCCACAAAAGTAGTCGAGATGTCAAACAATTTGAACATTGTTCATATAGTTCATAACCTACATTCTGTTCTATTTGCACAGAATTCAGCATTTAAGAGGATATATGGATACACAAACACAGAAATATCATGTGTAAACAAAGTTAACTTGCAAGACATAAGACAGTTGTGGTGGTAAATGCATTAACAGTGAGTCCTCAAAGGCACAGTAATAGAATATCATGCTATAGTAATTTAGTAGCACCATGTAATATAGTTTAACATATATATTTCATGCTACTGCAATGCAGCTAGATATTACCAACATTCTGAATTAGCACCTAAAAGGGAGCAGCACAAACCCTTAGAATAAAGTTAATATGCATCGAACCATTGGACCAAATTAAATATATCATGACATACAATACTTCTCATGCTATACAACAAACAAAATTCACATACCAACTTTTCATGCAAAACATGTTTCATGCTATAAATATGTAGTATAACACATACAGTTTCAAGATAAAAGTAGGGCGTATAAAATCTCATGGTGACTAAAGATTAGAGAACCGTTACAATAAAATAAGAAAACATTCTTTATGATAAAGCAAAATTGCAATTTTTACATACTCCTAGTTACACTTAATAAATAGCATTTATGATGACAAAATATTATAAGACAACTATAATCACATCATACAGAGAGATTTTGAAAAATAAAAAAAAATAAAACACCTTTAATCATTTTAAATATGTTAGGCACAATGTTGTTGAATCTATAATTGATATTTAAGGGTGATCATGCCTTAAAATACTAATGATTATGCCTGCACAATCATAAGAATTCAACAAAAGAGGCGCAACAGAATAAATTTGGTACAATTAGATATAAACACACTACTTAACAATACATAACTTTTCATATATATCAACATTCTCCAATACACTACTATGTTAAGACGAGAAGAAAATTTAAACGTGCTGTCTTTTTCTTAGATTATACTGATGTGTAACTTGAGGAGCAGGAGGTGGATTTTGAACTAAGTGAGAGAATCGTTTTGGAGCTAAACGAAGGCGATTGATGTGAATTTTGAATGGTTGAGCAAACTCATTGTCAAGTGCTCGAATAGTGTAGTTTACATCACTTGATTTTGAAACAATACAGAATGGTCCAGAAAATCTGGGTTTAAATGTATCCTTAGATTTCAGATACACTACGTCATCAATACTGAATGATCTTAATTTGGCATTTTTCAGTTGACGAGTATTTTGTTCTACTTGTTTTCGCTCAAGCGTCTCATAGGCATGTTCATAAGTTAATTTCAGCTGTGTTAGAAGATCACACAAATAATGGGATTTATCCAATTGAGCTGGCCTTGGATCAGGATGAAATGTATCAAAAATTAAAGATAAGTTTCTTCCAAAATGCAAAATATTAGGAGAATAGCCTGTTGAAGGATGAATAGTACCATTGTAAATATTCTGATGGATTAACAATGCATTTTGAAATGAAACACCTTTTTCATGAAGGGTAAGTAAAGAAGTTTTGATTGAAGTATTAACTCGTTCACTTTGTGCATTGCATTCCGGTCTCTGAGGAGTACAA